CCTCCCCTCCCCTCCCTCCAACCAAAGCCCAGAGCTTGGGAGCTTCCTCAGCCAGGGAGTCAAAGGATTACAGATCTAAGCTCAAGACCTGGCATGCTGGTAGTAGATACTCAGTCCAGTTGTACCTGGATCTCCATCCACATTCTCCCCACCCCAAGGACATGGCTTGCATAAATGGAGCCTAGGGGAAGGCAGGTATCTGCCTGCTGACAGCCATGGGATGAGAGGCCCTTTAGCCCCTCCCACACTGTCCCTTCCTCCTTATCACCAGCCCAGAGGAACAAGAGGGTCTAAGGGCAACTGGAGGTCCTCCACACCCAAGATGACCACCCAAGTCCCCAGGAGCAGGTCTGCCTTCCTCTACCTGTGCCTTTCCCTGTAACCTGTTTGCCTTCAGTCTGGGAGTCTATGGAGGAGGCAGGAGTGAAAGCTTGTCTAGCTCACCACCCTCACAGCCCAGAACACAAGGTGGGGAGTGTCTGCACAGGACAGCTGGCTCACCCTTCACAGTGTCCCACCGTCCTGGTAAACTAGTCACGACGGCTTTGCACCTTCTCTGTAATTCCCACCCTGCATTAACACCAGCGTCCTCCCCTCACCACACCTGTCCCCAGCAGCTCAGAGGGCCTTACCAGGCCCCTCTGATGGGACCTTCACTAGGATTCCCTACCCGGCTTGTTCAGTCCTGCCTTTTCCTATACCTGCAGCAGTGGGGCTGCAGATAGCAACGATTCCAAATGCGCACCCAAGGCCCACAGCCTGGGATTACTCGCTCTTCAGAGGGATGCCAGATGCTCTTCTGAGCTTTCCCACATTGGCTTTCTTCCTGCTTCTTCAATTGCAAGAATGCTAAGGCCAATCCCACGCCCAGGGCTTAGGGCTTCCCTGGTCTCAGCCTATGGTGCTGGCACCCGCTCTTTAAGTGCCACAGGAAGCAATTAGGAAGTCTGTGCAAGAAGCTGCTGTGTGTCTGTAGGGGGTGGTGCCCCGAGTGCTCAACAGGTCAGCAAGGTACCTGGGCTTCTAGGAGCATGATGGTGAAGGTTGCCTGGGCCATGGTGGCTCAGCTCCTGCCTCCTCTGGTACCTATCAAACCATGCTCTGTCTGTAATCTGGGATCCTGTCTGTGGCCCAGTTCCTTCTCCTTCACCTCTGAGAAAAGGTGTGAGAGACACCATCACTCCTTAGAAGGTACCCTCAGCCCTCAGGCCAGACTCTTGTCAAGGCCACATGAAACAGTCCAGGGGCAGTTTGTTAGATGGCAGCAGCAAGCCTGCTTGGTGAGGGGACTGGGGAACATAGTACCCAGAACTCTGGCCCAAGGCTTCTCTGTATTATGCTTCTTTGGTTGCTGTTTGGGGTATTTTATATTGATTGATTAATGTAGAATTTCTAAATGATCCTGGCTGGCCTAGAACTTGCCATGTAGCCCTGTCTAGCCTCAGACTTGCAGCAATCCTTGTTTTCTCTGACAGGGCAGAGAAATCAGACCCTGTCGTTCCCCTTTGGCTACTCTGGGGTCTCAGCAAAGTTCTCCTCCTTCCCCTGTCCCTGGTTCTGACATTACTTTGTGTTTCAGGAACTTGGGTCCTTCCTTCCCTAGCTTGTTTGATTTCATACTCTGCCACCCACTCGTCCAAACACATAGACTCTCTAACCATGAGGAAAACACAGGTGCTCCTAAATGGAAATCCATTCTACAAAACACACCACCATTTCCAATACAGTCACTTTAACAGGCAACTCACCTTCAACCTCAACCAGCTCCCATCCACAGGCCCACAGAGTGAGACGTTCCCTGGCCTTTTGCCTGCAGTTGGCAAACTCACCCCTGGGAAGAGCAGTAACACAATGCTCAGCCCTGAAAGGTGACCCAGGCTGGGGACAGTTAGGTCCCAAGGACAGCACAGATGATGGGAGGCTAAAATCCTCTGAGTTGAGCACCTACTGTTTCTTTTCTGGTTTTGAAAATCCTTACAATATTGTTACAATATTGTTCTGCACTCATAAAAGTGAACGATGCTGCAATACTAGTATTATCCAGATAGCTTTTCAGGGTAAATGATAGCTCCTTCTTGGAGCACATTTATCTGAGGGGAAGGTCACTGAAAGAACTGAAAGAGCATGTGAATTTCCGGCCTCCAAAACAAACTCTGCTAGCTCGCACCCACCTACCTACCTGCCCCATACCCCAGTTCACCATGCCAAATCTCCCAAAGTATTGCCAATCTAACTGAGCTTCCTCCTGTTCTCAGCAACCTTAGTATCCAGGCCCGGCCAGCTTTCCAACCTCACCGAAGGACTCTGCCCCCTACAATCTTCCATTATACCCAGCCCTGATGTCAACTGTGGTGACCACAAATTAAGAACTAGTTGGAGTCCCTGGAGTTAGATTTCTATGCAGAACCCAGGGTTCTGTGCTGTGGCTCCCAGGGGCCCCTGCAACCCCTTCCAGCAACACTCTGTCCATCACCTCACCCAGCAACCCCAGCCAACTCACCCGGAGCATCCAACAGGGCCTTCTCTGGAGTTGAGAGCTCAAGACCATGACCTGGGAACTCTTTGGAGAGCATCCGTCCATCACTCAAGGAGCTGGTGGAAGGAGAGGTACAACCTTGATTAGAGCACACTGAGTCTTCTTAGGCGCTAACTGCCTATCCCACTTCATCTAACCCCTCCCTTTTCCTCTCAGAAAAGTCCTGCTGTGTTCTGACTTGCTGTGTGTCTCTGGGTAAGTCACACCTCTCTCTGGGTCTCAGAGTTCCATCTGGATAAGGAAAGGGTTGGGCTCTGATTTGGGGGTACTCTGAGCCTCCACTCCAATAGAGTTGATGCTCCTAGGGCTAATGAAGCGTCCTAAGAGGCTCCCCTCCTCCATGGTGCCTGTGAGCACAACCCGTGACTGATTTTTGCTTGGAGAGGACATGAACCAGCAAGGTCTCGGGCTCCCTGCCTTCTACCTTCCCTTGTCCTAGCTCCCTCTGGCTCCCCAGGCTGGGTGGCTCTGGATAAGCGTCTCCTCTTTCACTTCTGTCATCATTGCAGCCTCGCTGTCCCTCAGTACCAGTCCTCCCCAGGGTTTAGCTGGCCATGCTTCACCTTCCTAGATGGATGAACAGAGGGATTTCAGTACACAGCTTAGGACTACATAGGGCTGCAAGATTGTACAACACCAGGGACACCACATAGTCATAGCTATGTAAACAGAACCTACTGGAATTGTATAGTGGGCAACCTGTACATCTGGTCATGATGCCCTGAGGGTATGACACTGGCTCCTGGGAGTCCCATCTGTCTGTCAGGGTGGGGTTAACCCCGTCCTTGCCCAGTTCCCAGGAAGCCAGGCCAATTACCTGCTTCGTACATTCGGCCTTATTCCTTGCTGGTACTGCAGGTTCAAACTAAGTTTTCGAACACAACCAGGCCCACCTGGCAGCAGTCTGTTTAAGAACCTGAGATAGGTTTTAAAGCAAAAGATATCAGCGGTTACGAAGGGAGGGGGTAAGGGGAAGAGGGAGAAAGAGAAGATTGAGATGGCTCTTTCTTGTGAACACTGTGAGCAAGACCTGGGCTACAGGGCTGGAGCATCCCTTCTGTTGTTATGATGACCCAGGGCTGAAGGGGAGGACTGAGCTGGTCCCTTTCACACATTGTGAGCAAGGCCTGGGCCACAGGGCTGGAACATCTCTTCTGTTGTTGTGGTGACCCACTCTAGGGAAGAGGGAAAGGATGACAAGGCAGAGGTTTCTGAGTGCTCTGGATTTCATAATTGACCTCCAGGGCTGTTGGGTGGAAGTTGCCAAACTTGGGGACAAAGACTGTAACATTAGCAGATAGCCCCTGAGCTCCCATAGTAAGATCGTCCTTGCTCTATCTCAGCCTGTGTCCTCAAAAGATGGGGCCTAGACAGGGCCAAACCCTATGCTCAGAACTGATCCATCTTTGAAATCACAGACTGGAGAGCACCCCCAAATTAGCAGGCCTATTATCTCCCACCATCTTAACAGCTTCCTACAAACAGGTCTGTTTTTAAATCCTCACCATTAAAGGCAGCACTTCCCCACCTAATTAAATTTGAGTAAACTGGTTCTGGCTTTTACATAGCTAAACAAAGAGTAAATGAAAAGACAACCACCTGGGGAAGCCAAGGGCCAAACCTACTAATACTGATGACAACTTCTGTTTATAGAAACGCCTCTTCCCCCTGTATAGGCCTCTCCAGCATCTAGCACCTGCTGCAGTGAAATTTCTGTCCTTATCCAGCAACCCTGTTCTCCTTCCTTCCAGGGAGAGGGTGGACCCAGCTTTTCCACCAAGACTTGGTGGAAGGGGACATCTCACCCTTGCAGCTGGCCCACAGAAGGTCATATTCAACCCTCATGTTCTGGGCTTAAAGAATTTGGAGTACCTGATTAAGAAAAAAGTCAGAAAGGAGCCAGGTGTGGTGGTGCACGCCTTTAATCCCAATACTTGGAAAGCAGAGGCAGGTGGATCTCTGTGAGTTCAAGGCCAGCCTGGTCTACATAGTGAGTTCCAGGCCAGCTGGGCTACAGGGAGACCCCGTCTCAGAGACAAAAGAAAAAAAAAAAAAGTCAGAAAGGAATTTTCCAAACAAGTTGACCAGCTCTTCCCTTAGCTAGGGTCTTGGAAGCTGAGTCCCTTCAAAGGGCTGTCAACTGAGTTTGAATGTGCTGAGGTTCTCTCCACCTTTCTTTTTTTTCTGCTCACTTTGCTGGCCTGGACTGTGAATCACATAGAAATGGGTCCAACTGCATTACAACCAGAGCCATCCCCAGGTACCCCTGGCATGGTGCTGCCTTACATGTGATCTCACAGTTGCTGTTGTTGCTGGAGAGGCTGGTCCTGTTTTTAACCCTTTTCTACATCACTTTTCGCCCCTGTCCATGCTGGCTCCTAGCAAGGCATCATTCTTGTAGCAGAATAGGAAAAAAGAGCACCAATTTTGCTCAAACTGTAGGTTAAATCATATGTTCCAAAATGGAACAGCGCATGTTTTCCTCAAAACCCTCCTCTTCTTAGACTCTTCAATAGCATTCTGGGGCTCTGGTGTGGGAAAACCTATGCCTGGTGTACACGAGGCCCCAGGTTTAGTCCCTAGCACTGAAAGAGAAAAAAAATCCCCTGAGGCCTTTCTTCTGATCCCCTGCTCTTTCCAGACAGGTGGCCAGCCAATGACCCTGGCAGGTGAGGTGATACTACGATCTTGATCATGATTGTAATGAGCCTGTCAAAGGTGATTAACATTTTACTCCTGTCATTCTGGAAAATTATACTCTTCCTGAAATGTTCCAGAAGCTGTCAGGTGTCCCGAGAAGGAAGTTACATCAAGTGACACAGTGACAATAGTGGTGGCAGAAGGGCCTGAAGACTTGCTTCTGTCTGTATTGAATTCCTAGGAAGAAGAAGCCCTCAAGAGGGTAGAAGGCTGGCTGCCTTTCACCCAGAGGACAAGCATCTTTGCACATAAACACATCATCTTGTTTGCTTTTCACAAAATCTCTAACCAATACATCCTGGTTCTTTACCACCTCCCCACCTGTCCAGGGAGCAAGAAAACCAAGGTGTCTAAACACCTGGGACATGATGCACTTGGGGCAGAAGTATGTGGGAGGGCCTGCCCTCTGCCTTCCTCTTAACTATCATCCCACCTTACCTACTCATCCAGGTTTGTCAAGAGAGCTAGTGGGAACCATTTGGGCACAGAACCTCCCCAGCCTCCTCAACCTTTCCTTCAGGAAGCCCTCCCAGATTCCTTCAGTATCCTCTAGCTCAGGTTTGGGTTTTGAAGGCCATACATAGGAGGTTTCTGGAAAGTAAGAGGTCACTCCCCATGTCCTCTAGCCGTGAGTGCTCACTGTAAGAGCTCAGTATGTATTGTTTGGATGCACCCAGCCAAGTTGTCACTGTTGTGTGTGACACATAAGGACAGCCTTGTTGTCTATGTGGACCCATTATGATGAGGAGCCATTTCCTATATATTTTTGTTGTCCTTTCTTCCCATTTAGCCCTCAGCAACCAGGCTGCTATCATGCATGCAGCAGGCACTCAACAAATGTTTTCTTGAAACAGCCTAGCATTAAGGTTCACCGGAATCTGTCTGCTTAGTGGAGTTCAACTCACTTTACAAGCTGTGTAACTATGGTCAAGGCACCGTGTGTCACTAAGCTGTTTTCTACCCATGTCCTGTGTTATCATGAGAAGACGATAGGAAGAGTGCACAATGAAGAACCATCTGTCATCATTATCCTGATGAACTGTCATGGATCACTTGAGAAATAGAAGATTCTTGGGTGAGATAGAGAGGGTGAGTGAATAGGATGAAAAGGCCAAACCCAGGTCTGGGATCCAGGTACTGTGCTAAGTATCTCCCTGGGAGATGGTGGTGGGGCAGGAGGTGGGAGGGAGGTGGGACCCTGGTTCCTTACACAGTCCTCAGGATGAAGCTCGCAGGCCTGAGAAGAAGCACCTCTGGCATGGTCCCTGTGGGGTGGCTGCACCCCTAGAGCTCACCCAGGAGAGCGCGAGAACCTCAGAGGGTGTGTCCCAGCGTCCCCCAGGGAGAGCCACCGCAGCCCCAGAGAGGCCCTGCAACAGAGACACAGCATGAGTCACCCTCCTAGGCCTGGCAGAGTGAGGGGCAGTTGCCCTCTGGCATGACTCACCACTCCTGGGACTGGGCACCTGACTACAATTTACTGCCTCCTAAACCCACACGTTCTGTGAGAACAACACAAGTTCACGGGAGGTGGCTGCCTTGGAGCGCTGGGCTCTCAAATTCCCTAGAGTCAGTTGCTCACCTGGATGAGCAAATAATCATGTTTCCAGGACTCCTGCTTTGCAGTCCTTCTGACCACTGTTCAATACCCTCTCTGGTACCTAAGGGTCCACCTTTCTCTGCTCAGAAGCAAAGGGAGAACCAACTTCTGGAATTCCGGAGAATGGTCTCAGTAGAGGTGTTGTCTAAGTACCACCTTGCATCCTAAAAGGCCCAAAGACAGCAGCAGTAGTAGCTATTACAGACCTTACAGTCCTGGCCACACATGACAGCCCCTGGCACATGCTGGGGCTCCCCAGAGGACACTGAGTCCACACTGGCTGCCCTATTACCTTGTACACCTGATCTCTTACCCTGGCTTTTTTTGTTGTTCTATATGGACTGCCTTGTTTCAAAGATCAGGTCTCCAACAACTGTCTCCTGATCCTTATTCCCAACTGGCAGACCCCCACAGCAGACTCACAGTAAAGGACTTGTCTAGCAGCCTCTGTCCTAGGCTCCCCAGCTCACCTTCCTCTTCCTTGAAGCGGCAGGTTCGGGGCTGCACACCCCCTGCTCGTGCAGCTAAGGCATGGTGAATCTGGGAGCCAGCTGCCGCAGCGTTCCAGGTTCCGGGTGATGAGCCACAAGGGCTGGGCATGAGTAGGGACCCGCCCCAGCCAGCCTTCGGCTGCCGGCAAGGTGTGGCCCCAGATACCTCTGACCTACATGGCACAGGCCCCAGCTGCCCACCTGTGTGGCTCTTACATAAGCGGGGCGGGAGGCAGGACAGGGACCTGCTGGTGCAGTAGGAGAGGCAGCTTGCTGGCTGCCATCCCTGACAGCGCCTCGGGAGAAATTGCCTTGCTGCTGGGACATCCACCTGGGAACCGGCCCTGGGCTTCTGAGGCTGGGACAGACAATTGACTTGTTATTTGTTTTGGGTTTGAGGAGGGGTGTCATTTTTACTTTTCCTAAATACACATATGTCAAATGGGCTGGCTCCTGTATCCTGTCCCCATCTCTGTAATGTAAGTTTAGTGATAGTCCCATTTTCCGGATGAATGGATGAAGGCTCAGAGAGCTCTAGATCTGCTCCATGTTGCACAGCCAACAAGAGGTAGAGTCAATGTTTTTTATTTATTTATTTATTTATTTATTTATTTATTTATTTATTTAGTCTTTTTGAGACAGGGTCTCCCAGTAGTCCCAGCTGGCCTGGAACGCACTATGTAGACCAGGCTACCTCTGCCTCCCAAGAGCTGGGATTAAAGGTGTGTGCCACCACACCCGGCTTAGAGCCAGCATTTTAAACCCAGGTCTCCACAGCTGGGTCTGAAGCCTGGGCTCTGCTGGGCACACACGTTGCATCATAAAACTCAAACAGTCATTCCACCTGCCCTGGACTCAGGACCTCCATCCATGAAAACAAAATTCCCTGCCTCCTAATGCCCCTTGGCCTTCTAATGCCCCTTCTACCCTTTCCCCTACTCTAGATACTGACAGGTTTATGGCTACAACTTCTTTTGTATTCTCTTAAACCAAGACCCTGCTTCCAGGACAGCCCCTGCCCACCTACTCTTTGGGCTTCACCTCCGATCACCCCAGAGCTCCCTGCCCCTGCTCCCTTCGAATGATTCACCTATCTCTCACCTTTTCAAAAAATATTTTATGTGT